TCCCTGAGGTGATTTTGGGCTCCCCGAGGTGATTTTGGGCTCCCCGAGCTGATTCTGGGCTCCCCGAGCTGATTCTGGGCTCCCCGAGGTGATTTTGGGCTCGCCGAGCTGATTCTGGGCTCGCCGAGGTGATTCTGGGCTCGCCGAGCTGATTCTGGGCTCCCTGAGGTGATTCTGGGCTCCCCGAGCTGATTCTGGGCTCCCTGAGGTGATTTTGGGCTCCCTGAGGTGATTCTGGGCTCGCCGAGCTGATTCTGGGCTCCCTGAGCTGATTTTGGGCTCCCCGAGCTGATTTTGGGCTAGCCGAGGTGATTTTGGGCTCCCCGAGCTGATTTTGGGATCCCTGAGGTGATTTTTGGCTCCCTGGACTGATTTGGGGGTCCTTGGGCTGATTTTGGGGTCCCTGGACTGGCCTGGGGCTCCCCGAGCAGATTTTGGGGCTCCCCGAGCAGATTTTGGGGCTCCCCGAGCAGATTTTGGGGCTCCCCGGGCGGATTTGGGGCATTTTCGGGGCGGTTGCCATGGCGACGGCCGCGCTTTGCGGCAGCCGCTTCCTTGGCGACGTAAAAGCGGCCAGAGGAAAGGGGGCGGGGGCTCGGGAGTGACGTCACTAGCGTGGAAATGCGTATGCGATGACGTCACGGGATTCCCTGGCTCTCACTCAAAGCCGGGGTCGAGTTTTGGGGGTTTTTTTGGTGTTTTTGTTTTTTTTTTTAAATTAATTTTTAGTTTTGGGTTTTTTGGGTTTTTTTTGGTTTTTTTTTAATTTTTTTTGTTTGTTTTTCCTTGGGCGCCCCTCCCCCATCCCCCTCCCCACCGCGCCCCTCCCCCACCGCGCCCCTCCCCCGCTTAGAAAACGCTGCGAGATAAGAAACGACCCCGGGGGGGAGAGGGGGTCCCCTGAAGGAATTTTGGGGTCCCTGGGGGGGATTTGGGGTCCCTTGGGGTATTTTGGGGTCCCTTGGGGGGGATTTGGGGTCCTTGAGGGAATTTGGGGTCCCTGGGGGGGGATTTTGGGGTCCTCGAAGGAATTTTGGGGTCCCTGGGGGGATTTGGAGTCCTTGAGGGAATTTGGGGTCCCTGGGGTAGATTTTGGGGGTCCCTGAAGGATTTCGGGGGGTCCTGGGGGGTCCCTGAGGCAGCCCAAGGGTCCCTGGGGTGGGGGAGGGGCAAGGGGGAACCCCGGGGAGGCGTTCCCGTCCCAGTGCTCCCAGTTTGATCCCAGTCTGATCCCAGTTTGGTCCCAGTCTAATCCCAGTTTGGTCCCAGTTTGATCCCTGTGCTCCCAGTCTGATCCCAGTTTGGTCCCAGTTTGATCCCAGTCTGATCCCAGTTTGATCCCAGTGCTCCCAGTCCCTCCCAGTGCTCCCAGTTTGGTCCCAGTTTGATCCCAGTCTGATCCCAGTTTGATCCCAGTGCTCCCAGTCCCTCCCAGTGCTCCCAGTTTGCCCAGTTTCCCCAGTCAGAACCCCTGGATGTGGCAGTAGGCTCCCAGTCCCTCCCAGTTCCCTCCCAGTCCCTCCCAGTGCTCCCAGTCCCTCCCAGTCCCCCCCAGTTCCCTCCCAGTCCCTCCCAGTGCTCCCAGTCCCTCCCAGTGCACCCAGTTTGCCCAGTTTCCCCGGTCAGAAGCCCTGGATGTGGCAGTAGGCTCCCAGTCCCTCCCAGTGCTCCCAGTCCCTCCCAGTTCCCTCCCAGTCCCTCCCAGTCCCTCCCAGTCCCTCCCAGTTTGCCCAGTTTCCCCGGTCAGAAGCCCTGGATGTGGCAGTAGGCTCCCAGTCCCTCCCAGTCCGATCCCAGTCCCTCCCAGTTCCCTCCCAGTCCCTCCCAGTCTGATCCCAGTTCCCTCCCAGTTCCCTCCCAGTTCCCTCCCAGTGCTCCCAGTGCTCCCAGTTCGCCCAGTTAAAAGCCCTGGATGTGGCAGTAGGCCTCCAGGCTGGCGAACACCACGTAGAGCAGCCAGAGCAGCAGGAAGAGCGCGGCCGTCAGGATTTTGGGGGCGCGGGGCCCCCCCAGCTCGCCGCCGATGGGCGCGCGGCGCCGCCACAGCAGCACGCCGATGGCGAGGAAGGCGAAGATGGTGAAGAGCGTGACGGGGAAGGCCAGCGTGCCCGGCGGCACGCGGAACGCCCGGCCCTGCGCCGCCCAGTAGACGGCGGCCACCGACCAGGCCAGCCCCAGCCCCAGGAAGACGTTGACGGCGTTGGAGCCGGTGACGTTGCCGATGGAGGCGTCGGCGCACGGGTCCTGCAGAGCGGCCACGCGGCTGGCGAAGGTGTCTGCGGGCCACACGGGGTGGGGACAGCGGGGACGTTGGTGGCATCAGGGACATTGGGTGTATCGGGGACGTTGGGGACATCGGGGACATGGGGACATTGGGGGACACTGGAGATATTGGGGACGTTGGTGGCATCAGGGACATTGGAGATATTGGGGACGTTGGGGACATCGGAGACGTCGGGGACGTTGGNTTGGGGGACACTGGAGATATTGGGGACGTTGGTGGCATCAGGGACATTGGAGATATTGGGGACGTTGGGGACATCGGAGACGTCGGGGACGTTGGGGACGTTGGGGATGTTGGGGACATTGGAGTGTTGGGGACGTTGGGGACATTGGGGACGTTGGTGGCATTGGGGGACATTGGAGATATTGGGGATGTTGGGGACGTTGGGGATGTTGGGGATGTTGGGGACATTGGGGGCATTGGGGCATTGGGGACATTGGGGACATTGGGGGACATTGGAGATATTGGGGATATTGGGAACATCAGGGACATTAGGAACATTGGGGACATTGGAGATATTGGGGATGCTGGGGACATTGGGGACATCGGGGACATTGGAGATGTTGGAGGTGTTGGAGACATTGGGGACGTTGGGGACATCGGGGACGTTGGGGACGTTGGGGATGTCGGAGATGGGGAGATTGGAGATATTGGGGGTGTTGGGGATGTTGGGAACATCAGGGACATTGGGAACATTGGGGACATTGGAGATATTGGGGACATTGGAGATATTGGGGACATTGGAGATATTGGGGATGCTGGGGACATTGGGGACATTGGGGATGTCAGGGACATTGGGAACATTTGGGACATTGGAGATATTGGGGGTGGTTGGGGGTGTTGGAGACATTGGGGACGTTGGGGACATTGGGGACATTGGTGGCATTTGGGGACATTGGGGGTGTTGGGGACATTGGGGGACATCAGGGGACATTGGTGGCATTTGGGGACATTGGGGACATTTGGGATATTGGAGGTGTTGGGGACATTGGGAGGTCAGGAGGACACTGGGGACATCACGGGGACATTGACTCCGTTGGGGACCCCTTTGTCCCCACGACATCACCGATGTCCCCAAGGTCCCCGTGGTGTCCCCAAGGTCCCCGTGGTGTCCCCAAGGTCCCCATGGTGTCCCCAAGGTCCCCGTGGTGTCCCCAAGGCCCCTCACCAGGGATGGAGGTGCCGAGTGCAACGAAGACAACGGCATTGACCGAGTCCTTGGGTTCCTGTCCCTTGTCCCACCCCTTTGTCCCCATAATGTCACCAATGTCCACGTGATGTCCCCAAGGTCCCCGCGGTGTCCCCAAGGTCCCCGTGGTGTCCCCAAGGCCCCTCACCAGGGATGGAGGTGCCGAGCGCGACGAAGACGACGGCGTTGACCGAGTCCTTGAGGCCGAGGGTGCAGCCGAAGTGCGCGGCCAGGTCGCCGATGAGGGCGGTGAGCAGCGCGAGGAGGAGGATGGAGACGCCGAAGGCCGCCCAGCCCCCCAGCAGCGCCGTGGGCGGCACGCAGGCGAACAGAACCTTCCAGAAGACCGTCAGGAAGTGCATGACGTAGTCGAAGCACGACGGCAGCCGCTCCTCGCGGCCCTCGTCGTCCTCGTCCTCGTCACCTGCGGGGCGGCACCAGGGGGGTGGCACTGGGGTCACCAGGGGGGCGGAACCACCAGGGCTGGGTCACCAGGGTGGTGGAACCAAGGTTGGGGTCACCAGAGTGGTGGCATTGGGGTCACCAGGGGGGTGGAACCAGGGTTGGGGTCACCAAGGTGGTGGAACCACCAAGGTTGGGGTCA